CTGTGAATTTTTGGTATGACCAGCACATCTTGTCAGGAAAACACATGCTATTTGACCACCCCCCTGAATTTCATTATTACTGTCCCTAAAAACAAACAAACCCAAAAAAAAAAAAAAAAACACAAAAAACCAAACACAAAACCCCCTCTTCTAGTGGGAATATAACTAACATATCAAAGGGATGAAGATAGTTTCACTAGAGAGAGCCAGAACAAGCCTTAAGACATGTCTATAATTGGTGGTTTGGGGACCTTTTGCAATAAGGCAATATTTGGGGTTTTTAATAGAATAAAGCATTCAGTGTATTGGTAAAGTTCATGAACAAATCAACTACTTTTGACCACTAAGAGAGGTTACCAAGTTTCCCTCATATCACAAAGCCTTCCAACAAAGAGCGATGCCACGCTGAATTTAACCATTCAGCACATGACCTTGAAAAAGCTTCCTAATACTTCAGTTACAGGAAGAAAAGTCCTTGTGCTACCAGATTATAGCCAAACGCTTTAGAGGGTATCATTTTACCCCTCAGATAAAAAGGGCGGGGAAAAAAAAGGGAGAGAGAAAAAAAAGAAGGGAAAAGGAGGAAAAAAAAAAGAAAGAGGGGAAAAGGATGAAAAAAAGTGACAACTTTCTAAGTGGGGGTTTCCTACTGTACTAACTGTATGCATTTTCCTTCCAAAGCCTGAAGAGGATGATATTGTGTGTACCACTTTGACAAGTGATCCATTTTTGAGGATGTTGCTTTAGATAAGCACCAAGTATCCTGTAGTTAAGACAATGTAAGAATAAGTAATTCTCTACTAGAGTACAAAGTCTCACAAAGTATGCGATTCTCGGATACATGTAGCTCCTATGAAAAAGTGTAACTACACCAACTTCAGAACAGTGTCATTTTATGTCAGTTATTTGCCCTGTATTTCTGAAACACTAATAAAGTAAGTCTTGCAAATATGGAAAGAAATTATAGCTATCTTATTAGCAAGATAGTGAATGTATCCAATTTCTAAAGCAATCTAAAGGCATTATGAGGTAATGTACTCTCTGGGGCATAGCTTTACACTTGTATCAAGTATTAGGGCCAAAATGCCAATTCATTTTAGACTTAAGCCTACTCTAGTTGAAAGCAGCCTTTGTAATGAAAATTATCATTGACCGTAAACATGCCTGACCCTCTGCATATGAATAATATTGGCTAACACAATTGTTAGAATCAAACCATGAGAAATACAAAGTTATCAGCAGTTTTTATAATCATACAAAAACCCAAGTTGTAGATTATTTTTATTTGTTAATTAAAACTTCAGCTACACAGCATATTTCTAACACAAAGGTGGGCTGCCGTATAATAATCGGTAGGTGTCTCAGGAAAGTCAGCTTGTTTTACCATTGCTAGTAGACTTGTCTTTCTGCTAGACACAAGACAGATACAATACGGTATGAATATGCATGTAGGTAAATACAGAATTTTGGATGTACAGACTTTGGCATGTTATTCCAAGTAACCTTTCAGACTGATCATAAATTTTGCACGCTACACAGCCTTCTCTGGTGTACAAATCCACCCTTCTCACTAGAGATTTTAATGCAAATGATCCTCCTCACCAAGAACAGTTTGTGTAAGCGAGCGCAGAGCATCAGAAAGAGAATGGTAACCTAATGAAAGACCAATTAACCTCCTCCCTTCCTGTTTCCCCTTTTGCATCAAACCTCGACCAGCTTATTGAAATTCTATACAAATCTGGAAGCCAAAGCAGCTGTGACATGTAAACCCATTAAAAAAAAGAAAACCCAGTTACAAAACCACCACCATAACACCTTTTGACAACTGAAGCTTGAAGAGAAAGATCAGATATTTTTGACAGAATGCTATCCTAGGCTGCTGTTGCACTCTCTCTTCAGTAACATGTTCTGGCTGAGAAACATGTTACATGTCTCCTACTCCAGCTGTCAGCTGCTACGAAAGGGGTTTCATCACTTGGAAATAGCTTGCATATCTATCTGAGCTGCCTTCCAGTTGACATGACTGGATAGTTGCAACCATCTTAACACAGCATATTTATCTCTTTGAAGCTTTTAGAAAGATTATCTAGCAACAGAGGCAACATACATATCTGTCCTCTCAAAGATGACTTTTCATAGATAACAATTATGTCTGCATGTTTAGAAGGATAAGAAATAACAAAGAAACAACCAAATTTTAAATCCTGCAGAAAATGGCCTTGCAGAAAATGCGTCCTCATTGAAGAAAGTTTTCCTCTGCTTTATAGCTGAGTAAATTTTTTTGCGCTGCAAACATTAGTTAACGCAGTAAAGCTGTAACAAAAATAAGCCATTAATTTGTAAAAGAGTAGTTAAGAGGGAACACCTACCATAAATAAAGATCCCATTGTGTTAGGCTACATATCATGGTATTTACAGCTTGACCACAAACGCAAGCGTAGCAAGTCTTGAGCTTCCCCCCCACCCGCCTTCCTTTCTTAAATCCACAATGTTTTGCAGCATATATCAAGTAGTTCTTAAAATTACCTGACTGGTTCCTATCTATTACAAGATCCTCAAAAAGCTGCAGAATGTATAAGCAATATGTCAAGTGTTACTCTAGCAAGACAAGAATAGGTAAGTGAAGTCAAAGAACCAAATCCTGCTGTTCATGACACCGCTGTAAGTCAAGAGAAGCTCCTTGAAAGCCATACCTGACAGAAGTTATTGGGCCAGAAAATTTCAAACTTAATTCTCTTGATCTTCTACGTTGCTATCCATTTATTGTGGTTTGAGTTCAGGCTTGACAATCAACTACTCAGTACTTACTAATATAATGAAAGTACAGCAAGCAGCACGCTATTTGGTAGAGAGTACAAAGGAGTTTTTCTGCCTGTTTACTTTCTAGTCAGATTATTCTTCCAATCACCTAAGAAAGGTATTGCAATCTCCAATAAAATTAAAAAAAAAAAGTGGCTCTGCAGATAGTCTGAAATACAGTTCAGCATATACTGAAACAATGGACATAAGACAACTGAGTCCATCCTCTAAAAAAGACTATTTACATTTTTTTATTTTTGTAAAAAATCTCCAAGCGAACTAAATTGGCAAAAAGTGTTACAGGTTAAAACGAACAAACAAACAAACAACCCTCACCCCCCCAAAAAAACCCCAAAACAACAGTGAAAGGGAAAAAAATAGTAATTTTGAACAACATAGGCCCTTTTGTTCATTATATAGGGACTCTGTAAGGGACAGCTGCATCAAATATTCTTAAGGTTAATAGATACTAAAATAACAAATTCGTACATTGGGCATACACATACCACATTTTTATGAACGTGTGTATGCACATAAATACATGGTAAAAGCAGTTATCAACATTTTGTAGACTTTTAAACTCTTTTTTTTTAAAATTTTTTGGCTGATGATGCTGAGTTGCTAAGACTTTTTAACTAATATGTGCAGCTCAAATGGCTTTGGGTACTCTGAAACAAGCATTACAAGCTCTATCTATTCACTTAGTGTTTCTGGATGAAAAAACAGCCCTATTAAAATCAAAGGCCAACTCCTATTGACTTAAGTGGCTTAATACGCTCTAAAATCCACAGCTCCAATTTCACCCTCCTTTATACTAATGAAAATCCTAAATAATTGCTCTGAAGTCAGTATACACTCATAGGATAAAGATGAAAAGAGCACGAGGGTAATTTTATTTTATAGCTTAGCTTGATACTTTTGTGACTGATTAACTCCAGCGTCACAGACAAAGAACTTAAGTGCCTTTGATTTGTATGTTTATGTAAAATAATGGAAAATCTGGGATATCGAATTGACCCACGATAAAATTGCATCATGAAAGACTGGCTGGGAAGGGTATTCATGTTTTAGAATATGTTGTGAATGAAAGAGGCTTCTGGAAAGACTGTTAAGAAGAGACAGAAAGAGACGCTCAAATACTGTGCCAAAAGAATCTGAGGCTTTAATCACGAGACAAATTAACTCTTTACTTTTACAAGAAATAAAAACTAGTTAATGTCAACTATATACTAAGACAACCATTCAAAAAACCCGAGAAAAATCTGGTCAAGTATGCAGTGGTCACTGGTATGTGTATGGTACGTGTTTGCCTCTTTGTGGCACACCTTCCAGGCACTCTTTGCTGCGTCTCCTGCCTTGGGGAAGTTAATGGTCTCTTTATCTGTTACGCATACAGCATGGACAGTGCTCTAACACCACAGAATTACTGGTATTAACACTCCTCTGCTCACACGGTCCTATGCTGACTTGGAAGAATGGCCTTTAATCATTTAATAGTGTGGCTCTCTTGAACCGTTAGCAAATCCAACAATTAGAGGGATTTGGAATTCAGAATAGTATAAACCTGATATTCCTATGTACAACTAAAAGGAGTATTCTGCTGCAAGCCAAGCTTGGGTTAATACCATCTACAGTTCAGTAAAAAAGAAAATCCTTTTCCCCTTTTCTCAAACAGCTGAGGGAGAATAAATTCTTTGCTTGACTTGAGGGTGGGGGGAAGGAGAAAAAAAAATAAAATCCTTCTTTCAAATTTCACAGACACTTTTCATGCCCGTGTTGTCATTGCAGGAGTGTATTCTGGTTAGGCTGTAGTCTTGTTTTGCTAAGACTGAATGCAGTAGCTTTCCTGAACTATCACTAGCATTAACTCAGACAACTAGCACGGTCTTATAAGGACTTCTGATTTTCTCCCCCATGTTCACATTTTACAGAATAAATTCTTTAAGAGTTTAAGCAATTCTACTGCAGAACTTCTCACTGCACAATTGATAATAAAATTAAATGTAAATTATAAAAAAGTTAATTTCCCTTTGCCCTTTCATATTTTCAGGCAGATTTTTTTTCTCCTAAAAACCTACTAAAAATGTCAGACAGATCTGTGTGACCAACAGCCAAAAACATGGCGTTTGTTAAACTTCAACACAATGTCACCAAACCTTGGTTTTCAAAAAGAAAGAATATAAAGAATAAAAATCACACACCAGATTCTGATGCACTGCCAGGGTCTAAGAGCATTTGGATTCTCTCCATGTACACAGGGGCCACGTGCTCCTGCAACCGCAAGGCACAAGGTTCACACAGGCCTGCAGACTCGGAGACGAAGCCGCGATTCCTGCGCAGGCTTTCGACTGCAGCAGGTGCTGCCGACGAAAAAAGCTTCCAGTGAGATTGATTCAGGCTTGAAAGTCTGCTTTAAAGAAAAATCTGCTCCCAAGCCTCAGTTAAAAAAAAAAAACCACCCAAACCAAAACTCAAAAAAACCCAAAGAGAAACACCAAACCACCGAATCACACCTTGGGGGAAGCGGGAGGAGAGGTTTGTGCTCCCAGGCAGACAAGTGCCTGTTCTCCGGCTTGCCTTGCCGCAGGGCAGCCGGAGGAGCCCCAGGCGGTCCCAGTCAACAGGACCAGGGAGGTTCACCCAACACTAAGTAAGCCTTTGGAGGAGCGCAGGGACTGCCCAGCTCTGCGCAGGCGGCCTCAGCAGGAGGCTCAAGCCCCGCCTGCCCTGAGGCGAGCCCGGCTGTGGACCAACGGTAAAGCCAAACCCCGGCGAGCCGGCCCGGCCTTGCGGTGAGCCCCCGCCATCTCGCAACGTCTCTCAGAGGGAGGCCTCTCCGGCGCGAGTCTCGGC